GCTATCAAATACTGATAATGCTAACCCAAATTAAATTACTTTCAATGGAAATTAAACAAATGTTGGTCCAAAATGTGATTTCCCTATATAAACTATAGGAAAGTTTACCCCTACCCCAGGGCGAAACGTGAGACTCTAGGGTCAAGAAATTCACTTTTGGTAGAGCACCTTAAGACCCTTCCATCTATGAAGAGTGTTGGATTCTACCATATCTGGGTCTTGAGAAGATTTTTGAAATTTGCGTCAATTTGACACTTTTTGGCCACACCCATCAGCCCCGAGGGGTCAGTCGGGGCTCATATGTGCATACCATCAAGCTGCTACCAAATACTGTTAATGATAACCTAAATTTAATTACTTCCAATGGAAATTAAACAAATGTTGGTCCAACATGTGATTTCCCAATATAAACTATAGTAACATGTACACCCTCCCCAGGGGGAAACGTGAGACTCAAGGGTCAAGAAATTCACTTTTGGTAAAGCACCTTAAGACCCTTCCATCTATGAAGAGTATTTGATTCTACCATATCTGGGTCTTTAGAAGAAGATTTTTGAAATTTAAGTCTATTTGACCCTTTTTGGCCCCGCCCCTCAGGCCCCTTGGGGCCGGGAACCAAACCGGCAACTATATTTGTTGACCTTTGGCCATGGAAGGTTCTGCAAAATTTCATTGAAATTGGTTCAGGGGTTTTGGAGGAGAAGTCGATCGCAATAGGTCACTTGAGACCTAAAAATGTTCCACTGTAAATGGAGTGTCACATGCGTGGCATGAAGGTAGATCTTCTCGTTTTAAAAGGTACGAATGAGTAGGATATGTGTGCCCAGTACGGAGCCGAGCGAGGACAACTTCCTTCCTCTCTACGATCTTTCCGACTGGGAATAGATGTTTTAAGTATCGGTTGTACCTTAAACAGTTTGTTGGTGGTCTCTCGAGACCAGCGTTGCTGCCATTCATTTTGAATGGCTGTACGAATATTTGGTAGATATTCTGTGTATGGTAGTTTGATATTTGTTTGTTTGAGATTTAACGCATTTTTTGCTTCCCTGTCAACACATTCGTTGCCATTAATTCCAACATGGCTCAAAATCCATAGTAAAGTTATTTTGACTTATTCAAGATACGATATATTTGAAGAGCAACGTTTTGTATGTTTGTGTTTTTAGGATCTCGTAACTGTAAACTCTGTAGGACAGATAGAGAGTCTGATTTGTTTGTTTGTTTGTTTATGTTTAACGGCCCATCGACGGCTGTGGTCATTTAGGGCCATGGTGATTTATTTATTTATTTATCTTATTTTAACAAACATGTGAATCGCGAAGATAAAATCAGATAAAAATGGTTCATTTTTAAAAGTATTCGCATTGTATGTGTAGATAATAAAAATAATGATAAAAGGGGGTTAAAATAATAAAAGCGATAACGAATAGATGATATGGAATATGCGGTATATATATAACGTCAAAAATGATAAGGTTGGTTAAAAGACATCAGAGTCTATAAAATAGACCGATATCTTTTAAATAGTTAAATAATGCCTTCGAATCCACGGAACTGAAAAGTGTTTTCATATCCGGGACTCGGAAGTAGTTATCACGAATGTGTTTAAAATCGGAACATTCTATTAAAAAATGCTCCACTGTAAATGGAGTGTCACATGCGTGGCATGAAGGTATATCTTCTCGTTTTAAAAGGTACGAATGAGTAGGATATGTGTGCCCAGTGCGGAGCCGAGCGAGGACAACTTCCTCTCTACGATCTTTCCGACTGGGAATAGATGTTTTAAGTTTCGGTTGTATCTTAAAAAGTTTGTTGTTGGTCTCCAGAGACCAGCGTTTCTGCCATTCATTTTGAATGGCTGTACGAATAGTAGGTTTAAAATCTGTGTATGGTAGTTTGATATTTGTTTGTTCGAGATTCAATGCATTTTTTGCTTCCCTGTCAGCAAATTCGTTGCCTTTTATTCCGACATGGCTTGGAATCCATAGTAAAGTTAATTCAGACTTTTTTAATATACGAGATATTCGAAGAGAAAGGTTTTGTACGATTGTGTTTTTAGGATCTCGTAACTGTAAACTCTGTAGGACAGATAGAGAGTCTGAACAAATAATTGCCTTTTTAATGCGGTGTTCTTCGATATGGTCGAGGGCCAAACCAATGGCGCATGCTTCAGCAGAAAAGATGGAGGCGCCATTTGGTAGTCGGACTGAAGTGCAAGTATTGGCAGTACAGCAGGCTGCTGCCACTTTCTCACCATCGGTGTAAAGTTGTGTATGAGAAGGGTAATTTGAAATGCATTCCCGAAAGGAGGATTTGTGTTCTTCGGGCATAACACTTGATTTCCCTCGCTCATGTAATGTAAAGTTAAATTCAGAGAGTCTGAACATATGATTGCCCTTTTTAATGCGGTATTCATCGATATGGTCGATGGAGGCGCCGTCTGGTAGTCGAACTGAAGTGCAAGAATTAGCAGTACAGCAAGCTGCTCCCACTTTCTCACCTTCTCTGGAACCATTGGTGTAAAGATGTGTAAAGATGTGTATGAGAAGTGTATGAGAAGGGTAATTCGAAATGCACTCCCGAAAGGAGGATTTGTGTTTTTCGGGCACAACACTTGAATTCCTCGCTCACGTCCAGTTATGAGTAATCAAGTTTTGTTCGAATAAGTGATATGTATAGGCGCATAAGCATTTCACGGTCGCTCCCCAGTCAGTATGAGAAAGGACTCGTTTACTGTTTGGAACACTTATCCTTAAGATACTTTATATGTGGTATGAAAGAGGGTATCGAATCAAAAATGAGGCCGAGAAATTTTAGTCTGTTCAACAACAGGAATTCTAGTGCCATCGAGTGTTAGACTTGGGTCATTGTGTGCTTTTCGTTTTTGACAGAAATTCATGCAGTTTTATATTTAGAGAATTTGAAGCCGTTTTCGTCTGCCCAATTTTGTAGTTTGTTTAAACTCTGATGAAGTTGTCGTTCTATCGTGTGCATGTTCTTAGAACTGTAACAGATCAATAAGTCATCCACAAATATCGACCCTTCTGTTGATTGACCAAGACATTTGACTATATCATAGGGTGACTGATAGGATTCCACCCTATGGGATCCGTTTCTTGTTTAGACGTTTCAGAAAAAGTTGAACCAACACGGACTTTGAAATGTCTATCTATTAGGTAATAAAATATAAAATTGGGAAGGTTTCCACGTACTCAAAGGTCGTGAAGATTTTTTATGATGCCATACTGCCATGTAGTATCATAGGTCTTCTCAACAAATTTGTTTGTTTGTTTGTTTGATTTTGTTTAACGTCCTATTAACAGCTAAGGTCATTTAAGGACGGCCTCCCCTGTGTGCAAGATGCATGCGTGTAGTGTATGTGTGTGTATTTTGGGAGGCTGCGATATGTTCGTGTTTGTCTTCTTGTAATAGCGCGGAACTGATGCCGACTTTATAGTGCTACCTCACTGAAACATACTGCCGAAGACACCCAGCAGGACGCCCCACCCGGTCACATTATACTGACAACGGGCGAACCAGTCGTCCCACTCCTAATTTGCTGAGCGTTAAGCAGGAGTAGAAACTGCCATTTTTAAAGACTTTGGTATGTCTCGGCCAGGGGACAGAACCCAAAGCCTTCCTCACAGGGGCGAACGCTCAACAAATGGCCAAAAGTGAGGCATTGTCAAGGGAGACATTAGGAAAAAGAAAGTTATTTAGAAAGGAGAGAAGAGATAAGGTCCCAAATTTAGTCGCCTCTTACATCATGCAATTGGGGGCAGCAGGTACAATTCTTACGCCCTACCTGCAGGGCAGTTGTCAACAAAGTGTTCCTTCTTGGCGAAAGCCTCTCTAATGAAGTGTTCCTTCTTGGCGAAAGCCTCTCTAATGAATGTCTCTTATCTGATGAGATAGTCAACGTAAGAGTTGTTTCCCTTACACAGGATTGGATAATATATTTTGACACAGCGCGAATTCTTGTCAAACAGCATCGGCAGTTTTGTCATGTTCTAAAATTGTTAAATTTTCATAAATAAATACACAAGAAATAGCATGCTGTGTTACATAATGTTTGATAAGCATACACAGTTCACATATCGTCTCATCTCGGAGGGTTCCACGTCCGTTGTACATTGTAGCAACGATGGTTTATTACCGTTATCAACCTTAGCACGATATGTCACATTACGTTTCGGCTTGAAACATCAAAAAAGAGATTATACCTCATCAATCATACGGTTTATAAGTATATATATTTACATCTTCCTTGTACTTACAATATTAAAAAAGCTAGACCGAACATACAGCGTCAATGCTCGACAGTCTTCAGATGTGCTTTCTCGAATCAGAGTCACGAAAACAGGCACTCCACGGTGGTAGGTAAATGTTCCCGGACTAAAACCCTGTACCAGAAATATAAAGATATTTCAATATCTTATTAACGCGATCGTTTATGTTTTATAAAATTATACAATAATTTCGAACATTATTTTCTAAATCTGACAGTGTATTTTAAGGGGGAAAAACTTGTATGCCGCAGTCATTACTTTCGGGTGTAACCGGTTGAATTAGACCCCAATTTGTTTAGTTATTTTTATATATTATTATATAATAAATAAACGATAATCTATAATTATATAATTACAAAAGTAATGTAACACAACATAACGATAATTTCTATGTAAGCCTTCTTGGGCCATTTCGATCAACCTCCCACAAAAAAAACACCAAAATGTGGGACAACGATAGCGACTGGCGCATATGGGCCCGCCCAAAGCGCCACATCCATCAACCAGCAGCAGCAGCTCTCATCACAATATTTTCATATTGCTTGCATAATATTCAGTTCCTTAAAATGTCTACGCTTGTAGCCGGTCACTCACAGGCCAAGTACTTCCATAAGTACTTGCGTCCAAGTGATGACATTTTTGTTATCTCCAGGAGCGGATATCGCATTGAAGAGATGTGGGAGGTTATGACATCGTTGTCATTCATTGCAGAGCTAACAACCTACCTCGTGATTCAGTACCCATCGTCCTCGAGCGATTTCAGCAGCTCTGTGAGCAGATATGGACCATTTCCGCTCGGATACAGATAGCCATATCTAGTCTACTGCCCAGGGCAGATGCAAGAACAAGACCTAGATTCATCAACGATGTGAACCCCAAGGCCCGCCAGATCAACAACCCAATCAGGACTATCGCCGAACCTCAGCTACATTCCCCATACAGCGTTTGCCAGGAAAGGAAAGATAGAACAACCACTACTCAGTAGAGATGGCCTTCACCTGAGTTTCAAGGGAACTGACAGAGTGGTGAAAGATCTGCTTGCCGGAGTGACCATCATCGGGGAACAGCCACCACACCAATGCCAACTACGAGACCTCCACCACCAACCACACCAATATCAGCTACTCCACCAACAGCATCAACTACCTTACCTGACCGCGCTGATAACCACATAACTTCCTAAACGACCAGACGTGAAACCAACTTATTTATCAAATGATGATCCTACATGAGTTGCAGTTTAGTCCCTCATACTCAAGGTATGATAAAATAACATTGTATGATAAAATAACATTGTTACATTGCCTATCTATAATTAATCATGGTTAACACTCATAGGTTTGCAGCTGTATCAACAATGGATTAAAGAATTATAATGGAGTATCATGTACCTTCTACATCTAATAAGATTGTGGCGTTTGATGTGTTGTGATAAAGAGATTATCCTCTATTCATTACATGTTAAGTATAACATATTATTAATTGATTGAAATTATTGTATAATTAAAAAAAAAATATATATAAACGATCACGTTATTAAAATATCTTTATATTCCTGGGCGGGGTTTTAGTCCGGGTCCGGGAATGGCGTACAAGATTTACCTTCCACCCCAATCCGAGTTGCTGAAATGCTCAAACCCAGTGCACGAACTTCACCACCACAACACTTGTAGAATGCACCGGAGATAAACATTTTGTTTGCAGAAGGCTATCAAAAGACCCACAGGTGAGTGTCCGACTATATAGCACGCACCCCGAACGGAAGTGGGTTCGTCATTTCGACAGAATTAATAAGCCACTCGGCTCAAATACTGTATGATAAACAACTATTTATTATTTGTATATAATTACCTTATATGTTTCTCCATTTACAAAAGTCAACTAAACTCCGTGGTTTCTAAATGACTTCCTCACAATCGTTATTCCCCGGTCTGTGACAAACATCCTTAAAAGACCGTTGTTTTAAGTGACCTTTTACCACTAATCCTTCTGACCATATCACAAACTTTTGTGATGGTTGTGTTCGAGTTCAGTTTCGACAAGTACTGTTTTCATGATATGGCCGTATTTCTTGCCGCCGAGCTTTCGATTTTTTTTTACAGTGATTCAAATTGCTGTGTGAAAGGTTGATTTTGAATGTCTAAAAGCTGTTTTTGCTACCTAGCTTTGTCACAGTCTTTGTTACTTCACGGTTTTTGGTTTTGTTTCCCAGTGGAATTTGGTATGCATTCGCTAGCTATCTCCAGAAGTTTTGTTGTGAATGAGTCGAATGGATCTTCAGAGTCCTTGGAATTATCAAAATTTAAAACTGTCAGCACTGAGTTTTTCGAATTGTGAAGCTTCCAGTTTGATACAAATAATAAGATAGGAAAGTGGTGGCTTCCACAAAAATCGTCAAGTAATAATGATGGGTGACATAATGTCAAGTCTAAAAGTGTAAATGCTCCAGAAGCAGGGTGTAATTACGTTTAAGATATATCAATAAAAAGACAAGAGATCGTTTTGAATTATAAAATTTGCGATTTTTCTCCCCCTTTCATTACTATCCAGGGAACCCCAAAGGTTGTTGAGACCATTGATGCCACTAATTAGGAAAAAAAGGAGAAGGAAGTTGTGAAAGATCGTCGAGATCTATAGAACATATGGTTAGTGCTGTGTGGAGAGTTACACTTATAGCAACGGCCTGAAAATTAGTGTTTAGCTGTATTTCTATGTGAGGAGTATACTTATCGACCAATATATCGGCTCCATCAGTTGCCTTATCGCCAAAAGCATTGAAAATGTTCTTGAAGTTAACAGTAGTTTCCTTTTTAAAGAGCGTTTCCTGAGGACAGAATACTGAAAAGGTTGTGTTCTTGAGATAGCCGAAGAATTTCATCTACATTGGGTGGAAGACCTCTACAGTTTCACTGTAACTTCCAGTTTAATATATGGAAGGGTCTTAAGGTGGTGCTTTACCAAAATTGTGAATTTCTTGACCCTGGAGTTTCACGTTTCCCCCTGGGAAGGGGGTAAACTTTACTATAGTTTATATAGGGAAATCACGTTTTGGACCAACATTTGTTTACAATGCATTGGAAGTAAATTAGGTAGCAGTTTGATAGTATGCATATTTGAGCCCGGACTGACCCCAAGGGGCTGATGGGTGGGGCCAAAAGGGGTTGAATTGACTGAAAATTCAAAAATCTTCTTCTCAAGACCCAGATATGGTAGAATCAAATGCTCTTCATAGATGGAAGGCTCTTAAGGTGCTTTACCAAAATTGTGAATTTCTTGACCCTGGAGTTTCACGTTTCCCCCTGGGCAGGGGGTAAACTTTACTATAGTTTATATAGGGAAATCACATGTTGGACCAACATTTGTTTAATTTCCATTATTATGGTTTATAATGGCAAATGATACTTTGAATATTACATGTTAAGAACTTGATTGGAATTATAACCTTGAGTTGACAGTTTGATACTTTGAAACTTTTGAGCCAGCCCTACCTCCAAGGGCTGTAGGGTGGGGGCTCAAAGGAGGCAGTGTGCTAAAATTTCTTCATTTTCCTTGTTTAGAATCAGAGGTGCTAGTTTCAAATACTTTTTAGTCTTAAATCTGTATGCTAGATATTGAATAAGACGGTTTTATTGTTTTTTGTCACTTTGAATAATATTTCTGTTCATGTTAAAAACAAAATCAACTCTCTGTATAAATATATCAGGTGACCGTTAAGGACCATGGGCCTCTTGTTTATTATTATTAGGCTTATTAATTATTACGTTTCTCGTTAAAAAACCGTTACGAGTTTACTTACGGTCAATATTAATTAGACTTTTATTCGGTAAGCAGGTGGAAATACTTTTGACCATAAATTATCATTGTCTGTGTGTCGCGTTGCGTTAGCGTACGTCAGGTCTTTGTGATGGATATATTACATGTATCAATATTTGATCGACCTTTATCTTTATAAATCACAAGACATTTCTGTTTGTTTCACACTCATCCATTATGCAAACGAAATGGCAAAATTTAAATCATTCTTATGTGCCTCGATCCTCGTAGCCTACAGTGTACTGACGTATCTTCCTATGCATTGTGTATGTTCGTTTCTTTTTAGATATTTTATATACTTCCGCTTTTTATATAAACCCGTTCTTGTCACCACAAACGAATCACCGTTTGTAAGCGTCATCCGTAGCACTTCCGTACCGTTTGTGTAGCTTTGTTTGTTCGTTTGTTTGATTTTGTTAAACGTCCTATTAACAGCTAAGGTCATTTAAGGATGGCCTCCCCTGTGTGCAAGCTGCATGCGTGTAGTGTATGTGTATTTTGGGAGGCTGCGATATGTTCGTGTTTGTCTCCTTGTGATAGCGCGGAACTGATGCCGACTTTATAGTGCTACCTCACTGAAACGTACTGCCGAAGACATCCAGCAGGACGCCCCACCCGGTCACATTATACTGACAACGGGCGAACCAGTGCAAAAAAGATGACCTTGTGCAAATTGGGAAATATATCACCGCTACTAATATGCTCCGTAAAGACAACACCAGTAGTTTTGAGAAGTTGTCACAAAAGTTAAAGATGCAAACAGATCAATTAAAACAAGAGCTGGACAAGCTTACAGCACAGACACTCTCTCTTTATCACAAAATGGAAGAGGATAATACTAAGCTGATAAAGAAATACAAACAGAACCTGAAGATGTACGAGAAACAACTCAAACAGCAAATTCAAGAATGTAAAGCAGCTCTCCAGCGTGGTTCTCGCATACAGATTTATGATACATTTTGTGAGCATGATTCTCCTACATACAGTCTCTCTGTAAAACCTGTCCTGGGAACTGCCAACTTCACTCCAAATCAAAATCCTCAAGATCACTTGAAAACAACATTGGGGAAAATTATCACCTCAGGTCAACGTCAAACATTAACTAACCAGGATCGGTCAGTCACAACATCTGATGATATGGGACAATCCTCTACACAACGGTCAGGAATAAAACGGAAGAAAGCTGTGACAACTTCAAACTACTGCCACAGACCAAGGTAATGGAGGACTTTAAGTCTCCATGTGACATGCATGCTATATGTCCAACCACTGATGGTCAAGTGTGGACAAAGTTTGATAAAACATTAACTCTCCTAGACAGGAAGTCAAACACAATGTCTGGATCTATGATATCAGTCTGTCACCCACCACACACACACTGTGGGTCTGTGACAGAGACTATACTATCATGGAGCTAGTATAAGGACGACTGACTCACAGATTCAGTACCAAGGAGAAACCTATGTGTATATGTATTACAGCCAGTAACCATGTCATTGTAGGGATGACCAAACACATCTCCAAATTTACCACAAATGGTAAAATGGTGTGTTCTACTATTGCAAAAGGGACTGGGAAACCATAGTGTGTTTACCACACAGGATCTCGGAGTGTCCTGTCACTCACAATGTGGCAGTCACTGATTTCAGTCGTGAAAGAGATGGTGGTGATGATATATCACATGTTGTTGTGATGGACACTGATTTCAAGAAGCTGTTTGTATAGAGGTGACATCCCCAGTACATATAAACCAACACCACAAATAGGAGGTAAACCATTCCCCCCCCGGGGTGGGGAGTATGCCAGTGTGGGGAACCTGATCATTGGGGACTGTGACAACTACAGGGTCCTACTCATCAGTGGAGGTGGTGAGTTCATCAGGGGCATACACAGACACAGACTATACACACGCTGTAGGTATAGACAGGGAGGATGTCCTGTGGGTAGTGTTTGGGTTATTGAGTCAGAAAGTCAAACTACTACAGTACAGCAGTGTGTGATGCCTGTAACCAAACATTTGTTTGTTTTTTATGTTTAACGGCCCATCGACGGCTGGTCATTTAGGGCCATGGTGATTTATTTATTTATTTTACTTTTTTAACAAACATGTGAATAGCGAAGATAAAATCAGATAAAATGGTTCATTTTAAAAGTATTCGCATTGTATGTGTA